CCGTGCAGGAGCTCACGTGGGGCAAGGACCTGGGCGCCTTCCCGGCCGGCGCCTTCGACCTCGTGCTGGGCTCCGACATAGTGTACCTGGAGGAGACCTTTGAGGACCTGCTGCGCACGCTGGAGCACCTGTGCGCCGAGCGCACCGTCGTGCTGCTCTCCTGCCGCCTCCGCTACGCGCGCGACCGCCGCTTCCTGCGCATGCTCCGAGACCGCTTCTCCGTCCAGGAGGTCCACTATGACGCCGGGACAGACGTGCACATCTACCAAGCCCAGAAGGCAGGGCGCAAGGACGAACTCTGACTTGGTGCTCTGCTGGCAGACCCTGGGTGCTCTGCAATTCTCCGTGTTTTGACCAAATATGCTCATTCCTAAGCAGAAAACTGCAAAGATTTTTTTTTTCCCTGGCCCCTTGTCCTATGTGGGCAGGATGGTGCGCGCTGGCCCCCTGCCTATTGGAGCTCTGCTTCACTCCTCAGTGTGAGATATATAAAGTCTCCTACTGACTGGATATCAGCTTTTTGAAGCTGATTAAGTTGTAGAAATCTCTGGGCATGAAAAATATTATTAAAAGATCTGTTTTTTAAAATCAAACTCACTCAGTGACTTCTTTGGGACACTTGCATGTATTTCACCTGTAATCCCTTTCCTGGAAAAGTTACCAGATACTTTTCCCTCAGGGGCAGGTACAAATGCACAGGGATGATCATAGGGCAACACTACACTTGTAAAGGCAGGAATTACTCTTTCTTTTCCAAGTAAGTGGAACAACTTCTGCTTCATACTTAATTTACAAAGCCCCAGGGCAGGTTCAAGCTTTACCCGTGTTCATGTCTGTAGCATGAGCACCAGCACAAGGCACCAGCTGTTTCTGGGCCATGGACATGATGAGCTCTTGGTCTCCCACCAAACTTCCCAACTGCAAAGGGTGCATAGAGTCTGCGGCCAGAGGTGACACAGTCTGGAAACAACATGTTTGTCATTGCAGCTGCCACGTGAAGCAGGCGTGAGGGTCCCAGGAGTGAGGCCGAAGGTCTCGTTTGTCATCCCTGAAGACTCTCTTGTGGGTTTTCCGCTAGAGCTCCCTGCGAGCTCGGTCTAAGGGTGGCTACGCTACGCAATGCAACGACATCCTTGTGACCACGTGGTGTCACTAACACAGCGCACTCTTCTTGCCGAGCCTGCTGCCCCTGAGCAGGGTTGAAGTTCTTTGAGGGAAGGGACACAGCACCTTCAATTAAAAACAGAACACAATATGAGCTCTAATGTGCCAGACATATCCTTTTCTATCCTATCAGCTGGGTGAATGGCGTTGGAAAAAAATTACAAGCTTTCTACACTCAGCTTGAGTTTTTGACAGTTAAGGTCAATATAACTGTGTGTCCTTTTAATGGTTTTAGAGCTTTCAGGGTGTTCTTTGCTATCGCTGCTGCTGTAGCCTGCGGCCTACCTGAAAGAGCAGGTACAGGGCAGGAGAGACATCAGGCTCGGCTTCTCCCAGGGGTTGCTGCCCAGAGAGTCGGTGTGAATGAGCCTGTGGAGGACATGCACCTCTGAAATGGTGGGAGCAGAGCTGGGGAGAGAGCAGCTCGGGAGAGCGCCTTGTCCTCGTGCTGCAGAGCTCAGCTTGGCCCCATGGCAGCCCTGGGTGCTCTGACTCCGCACCAGAGACTTGTCCTCGGCCACTGCTGTGTCTGGGGACTCCCTTAGGTGCGAGACCAGCCCCAAATTTGGAGTGTGAACTGCTGCTTTCCCGGAGCCAAGAGCAGCAGTAGGTGCAGCCATGCAAGGCCCCAGGTCCCCAAGGTGGTGGCTGGCAGAAGCTGCATTGCCGTGAGCAGTCGGGCCCGGTTGCTTTTTAGGCTGCAGGCACCACACAAGAACATGAAACTCCCAAGCCCACAGCCCTGTTTCCGTCAGGCCGCGCGGACACCCACCTGCACCAAGCAGTGAGCAGAGCCGTCCCGTGTCTCCAGACGGCCTTCACTGCTCTTCTCCATCACGTCGCAGGGAGGCTCGCGGCACCGCTGGGAGCGAGAGGCGCTGGGTGTCCGGGAGCGATGGAGCGCGGGCGCTGTGATCTGGTGAGCAGGTACGCGGAGAGCGCGGGGCCAGCGGCGCTGCGGGCGTCACGAGCTGACCAGTCCGCCCCGGCGAGCTTGTCCCACCGCGGAGTGACGCGTGTCGCTGCTTCGGCAGCCGTGCGGCACGTACGGAGCGCGCTGCCCGTGTGCTGGTCCCAGCAGCAGAGCGTCAGCGTGGTTCCCTGCACCTCCATGGGGAGCACGGTTGTGCCCGGGATCCCCAGCAAGGGAGCGAGGCACAAACAGGCTGTCGTGAAAGGATCTGCTCGGCCAGGAATGATCTACTCAGGTCAGATGGGACTGGATGGACACGGCATGAGGTTGCAAAACTGCTCCTGAAACACACCTTTCTCTGAGGGAACAAATTTTTCCAAAATGTCTTTACAACTAAAATGATGCTTGGTTAATATTAAGACACTGAGCATGAAATTCAGCTCTTTATCTCATGGGCAAAGAGCCTTAAGGTGCAGCAGCATCAGGAGAATCAGATCTGCTGGCTGTGCAGGGATCTGTGTTACCTGATCTATGTAGTTGGAAATTCAAGCCAAATTAATTTTATCTTTTACCTTGTGGACTAATGCTGGTTTGGAATTCTCCCTCGTTACTGAGATGTCGTTTTCTGAATAAATATATGAATGTCATCATGGAAATGCTTAGTAGTGAAAATCATGAAATCCCAGCCATAAGGAGCTGACCTTACTACTCTCCTCGATTTCACCGGAGGTGCCGAGTTTGTCCTTCTGGCGCTTATCCCAGTGTTTTGATCCAGCTTTGCGGATTACATAATCAAGTTACGCTCCTTGCAGTGCTTGCTGCCTTCTGTGCTGCTATTAAAATCAGTAGTACATGGTTTACAGGAATGTTTGAAAGTGGGAAAGACGGCATACACAAACTGCAAAAGGGAAAAATCTGTCACATGCTAATCAAACAGAACTCACGGGGATAAGCTTCAGAAATGGAAGAGAAACTGTCCTTCAGTTTTTAACCTCTCATTAATCTAATTCAATTAAAATTAAAAAGCCTTCTCTCTGAAAAAATTATCTCATAAACACTTGCAGGTTAAGTTATCTCATAAACACCTGCAGGTTACTGTTCACAAGAGAAGGGAAACCACAGTTTGCTTAAAAATGCGGCTTCCCATGGTTGTATCCAGCTCCTCTTTGTCCCTAAATTCATGTAAATTTAACTTCCTGCTCAAAAAAGAGACTTTGTGGATTTTTTAAAAGCATGTTTATGTCAATGCACATAAATGTTTGTGTAAAAAGGGAGTTATGCCACAAAGGTTACAGTAAGAAAAAACACTTCTTTATGACAATAATTCACAAATTCACAAGAATCACTTTAATATACAAAGCAATTACTACCATTCTGAAACACAAAGCAGCTAATATGTACATAGTGTTAACAAAATGCATTATAACCCAGTACAATTATTTTAAAACACAGATAAAACACAAAAGTAAAAAAAAAAAAAAAAAAGAAACCACACACAATAGGGATATTTCTGAATTTTGGGAAAATGTAAAATAAGATCCCCCTCTGCAACAATGGATTTTCATTTAGTCTTTTAACTTCCCCAGGTACGTGGGTGTCAGCTCAAATACCCTGTTCTGTGCTGATACACTTTGGGTAAAGAATCAGAAAAGGCAGGTGAGGTGAAATTACTCTTTCTGGGATACATTGCAAAAGGAGAACGATAACCCTTGCTCTAGAAGCTTCCCTGAAAAACACTGTTCCAAAACAACTGCAAATTAGAAATGCAAACGGGACATAAGTCACTCCTGAAGGGAACCACTGGTCTGCAGACGAGGGCCTGGCCGCCAACGAGCTCCTCTCCCCATCCCGGCCCTACAAATCCGTAGAAGCGGCAGAGTCAAATCGCATTCAAACTCGCAGTTCTGGATTTGTTTTTAAAAAAATATGTTTTAATATAAATAAAAGTCATTACACACAAACAATGGAGTGGCACCTGGATAAAATACAGCTTGGAGAGAGCGTCCTCGGTTCTGAGTTTGGGCCATTTCCAGGCAACTAACCAGCTCGAGGCCTTCCCTCCCCTTGCTGCAATGCCATCCTGCTGCAGCTTGGTGAAGTGACTGCTGCCCTCCACGCACTGAGTGCCTTCAAAAGCTGCCTGCAGTGCCAGAATCCCGGGCTGTGGCTAAGGGATCACGGTTCCCACACAAGAGGTTGTGCACTTTGTTGTGGTTCTTTTGTTTTTCATTTTAAATCGGGATGTCACATTGCCAATGCAGCCTTACCTCCCTGTGTCAAAGGACTGCAAACCCTCTCTGCTTTATATTATTGTTTTTATTTTGCCTTTTTTTTTTTTTTTGGAATGCAGCTTTTAAAAATTGCAGCCCAGATCTTAAATTAGGAAAAGGAGAGTAAAGCGACTGGAAAGGAGTTTCGCCTTCCTCACAAACCAATTCCCCTTCCTCACTTGGGATCGCTGGACTAGTTCCATTCAGCTTAAAAGTAATTCCACATCCCTCCCGTGCACATTGCCCTGAGACACTTGGTTCTTCCCAGTGCTGGCTCGGCTGCCGCCGCTCACCGCCTTCCTTGGATCAACTCAAATTTGGGATGGAGTCACCTGCTGCGGGCAGGGGGTGGGACGTGTGCATGACACAGGGTGACAGCAACGGTGCCAGGGCGCTCATAAGCAAAACCAACATCCAATTTCTCTTTATTTTTTTTTGTCGTTTTGTTTGTTTTTTCTTTTTTTTTTTTTAAAGTGCACATTTTGATCAAACATTTACAAATAATATAATGTAACAAAAATAAATACATGACCTTATGGTTGGATCATTGGCAAATGTTACATCACTAATCAGCTTCAGGGTGAAAAAAAAGACAATAAAAACGGTCTCAGAAGACCAATGAAATCATCTTACACATTGTCATAGATCTGCAACCACGGATAATGAACTTGCTTTGATGAGGAGACTTGTCTGTAACCCACAAAAAGCATTGGCTATATGTCTAAAATAAAATTTAAAAAAAGCCAAGGTCAGTATTTTTGGTAACGGATAACTACTTGCAGCTGCTTGTCTATTGGAAGCCCAGATTAAAAAAAAAAAAAAGGTACTACAATTTTAGATCAGAAACTGTCAGGGCTGTTTTTCCTTATTAAATCCTTTTCTTTTTTTTTTTCCTGAGCCTCTCACTGGTTCCAAACACCCCACCAGTTTCTAATCCACATAAAACAGCAGAGAAACTGTTGTCCAAGACACAGCACAACTACAGGAGAGCCAGAAGCCCAGAGCTTTCTGTGCAGTCCTGGGAAGTGTGGCAGGCTGAAACTGCTTTCGGATACAGGCAACGGTGCTGGCAACCTCCCCGCTCTGCTGAGATCACCGCTGCAATAAAAATGCACAGCCACTACCCCGAGAGGAAAACAGGAGCCCTACCAGTGGTTCCTTAAAAAGCAAGCAACGACAACAAAAAAAATCCCTAACAATCCTTCCAATTGTTTTTGCCTTTGATGTATAGCTGCCAAAGTGAAAAAGCACAAAAGTGAATTATTCTGAGGGAGGGGGGGAGTTTAAAAACAACTGTTTACATCATTTCAAAAATCTCCAAAGGGAAACAAACAAAAAAACAATCCAACAAAAGGCATGAAGGATGAGATAAAATGGTTGAAAATGGGTAACTGAAAAACAGTACAAACAAAGCAGTAATAAGTGCTAGGATAATAGAGCCCAGAACTACCGGGGCTTCCGCACTCGCGCACACATCCACGCACACCCAGACACACAGAAAAGTAAAAATTTCTTCTGACCTCCATACACTATAATACTCAGCATTCCTGACTTAAAAGCTCTCAGAGCTGTAGATTATATACTGTGTATATATATATATATATATATGTACATATATTATACATATGTATTTTTCCAAGAATATCTAAATTAAAAGAGCACCTCTGACAATATCTTAACTGCCTGCTCGGTGCTGTTGTTTTGCAAAATAATGACATTACAAAAATTATATTTCAAATCAATTCTTGTTTATTATGAACAGAATGGATCTAGCCCTTTCTAACCCTCTCCTCAGGTAAACCAGGCTGTTGATTCTCGAAAACTCACCACCGTGAGCTATAAAACTCACCCTCCCTCCCCAGTGCCAACGTAGCTGCCATCCTACGTCCAGGCCTTCGTTGAGAGACGCTGACTGCCCCAACCTCGCTCCTGAGGTAAGTGATATATGAATGATGCCCCCGTCTTGTGTTCCTTCCCTCTTTGGCTCACTCGGAACAGTAAAGCATGTATGGGTAACCTTGCCAGCCCTGCACTTGGTGTAACACGTTTCCTTTTTTTATCGCTGTCATTTAAAACTCCCATTAAAGAAATAAAAGCCCCCAAATCCTCAGCGCGCCATAAATTTAAAACACTGTGTACTCCGCAACAAGGTTCTTTCCCCAGTGACATGTTCGTTGCTAAGGCCTACACGGGTGACACTACGGATTGCTTGGAGCGCGCGCGGACGCGACGCGGTGACGCAGCCCTCCTCGTACCGACGCACCGATCCGACACGACCCACTGCTGGAAGCACCTGGCCCTGGCGGGGGCTCCAGCTTCCCACTCCACATCCACGGAACATCCTCCAGCTTTTGCAAATGCCGCCACTGCCGCCTCTAGCGCTCGTAATCGTCACAGACGCACGCGAATGCTCTGCCTTCAAAAATCAAACACATTCCGTAAAAGCGCGACTGAAGAACTTAGGGTCTCCTTAAATTCATACCGCTAAACTAGTAATTTCCTCCGACATTAAATAAAAACAGGAAAATTGATTCTCTATGGCAGATAAAAATAGAATATTTATAAAACCCCATAACACTTGGTTGGGAAATGAATTCTTTCATAATTCTGATAATTGTGTTTTTTGAAATATAAACATAGTTTGAAATTATTGATAACTCTAGATTTAACAATAATGCTACAAGTTTAACCCTGCTCCTTTAAAGTCTCTTGGAAACCGAATGCCCTCACAAATGACAAAACTAGAACTTTTAATACTGCTATAGCTGGCTGAGACTCGCCTGCCTGGAGCCTTGCAAATTTGTTTTTTATAATGTCACATTGACCGTATAACCCTTTAATAATCTTGTATTTGAAATTTATCTTAAAAACAGACAGAATGCACGAGAGAACACATGAGCCAATGCTTAGCTAGGCAAGGCATTAGTACAACCCACAGCCTTACTTTTGTCTGTATACGTGCAAGTTGGACCAGGGGCCCAAAGTAAACTTACACCATCCAGTGACCCAAGTTAACATATCAAGAGTCTGGCCTCAGAGGGCCGGAAAACAAACCAAACATGATTCTTTTTGACATACAATGGAAGTCCCAAATGTTGAGTACAGTGTTCATAATTCTTTAACATGATCTACAACACATGACGAACGTGAATCTGGGAACGATCACATTTCCTTGGTGCACACAAGAAGTCTGGTCTTTCAAACATCTTAGGCACATGAGTAGTTTTACTCACATGAATAAACAACCTAGTAAATCTGATCCTTTACATTAATAAATCCCCTGAATAAATTAAGAATTTTGTTAGCCTGGGCAGGTTCAAGTAAACGATACTGTCTCTCGCAACGCAGAAGCCAGCTGGGCTGGAATATTCATGTTCAAAGCCACCTTCAGCTCAATGTTTGAAGCTTACCTGGTAGTTACCACACTGCAATTAGATTTATTTCCTTTAAGGTGGCCTCAAAGTTTAAAAAGAATTGAGCAAACCAGGATAATGTTTCTGGTAAGTACAATAATTTCCATTACATAAGATAGTGGTAGGGAAATAGAAATAACTTAACTGCTTAGAAGGCCTCGGGACACCGAGACTATACTGCCATCAGGGAATATGTACGTGGAGTTGGCCATGCTTCAACTGCTTAGTTGTCCTGATACAAATAAGCAGTGCTTTCATATGCTATCCATGCTTACTATGTCACTGATTTCTAAATGTCACTGTAGTTCCTTTTTTTATTTTTAAATTCAATTTCCCCTCAAATATAATTTCCCAACCAGTATCCTACAAAGTTCATGATTTCTTTTTGTGCATTCAGAATGCTGAACACACTTGTATAAAATATGCTTCAAGAAGCAACAACTGACCAGTAAGGGCAGTTTCAATGCCTTTTTTTCTGAGGTATGGAGAAATTTTTATTAATCCAGGAGGGTTTAACACAGATTATACACCAAAATCCTTCTGGGCTAGTTTAATAATTGTATGTTATCTCCACACCAACGATACGGCTGTGAAGTGCCTTTGATTTGGCACGTCTCTCAGCCACGTATTTTTGTAGTTTATAATGAACATGTGAAACCAATTTGGCAACCACTGCTTCTTCATTGCACCATACATGCTAGAATGTACGTGGCCCACACAGTTCCCTGGGCCGAGAGGCTGGGGTGGTTCTGTCTCTAAGGCAATCAAAAGAGCTCAACACAAATTCTTGAAATCATCACCAACGGACCCTCCCCCACAGGAGCTTCCCAAGGAATCACTGTTCCTCCTTGACGAGGATGGGGAGATGAGAAAGAAGCCTGTTCTTCTTCTTCGCACACATTTAATGACGAAAATAATCTTGTAGGGGGAGAAGTGGAGGCAAGTGTTTGAACATTCACAGTTTGATGCAAAGCACAGACGAATTAAATTCTGTAGTTGCTTTCAGGCAGTTTTGCGCATAGAAAAAAAAGAAATGTTTAGAAAATGAAAAGTTTACTTTGTCTTTCTGGTTATAGCCAGAACCAGTCTCAATCCCACCTGGACAAGTGAAAATGGGAATCCAAAATTAATCTGATTTGTGGCAGTAAAGGTCCTTAAGTGCTTTCAACTCCTCGATCAGTGTCTTGTTTTGGTTTTCAAGCACAGCCACTCGATTTTCTAGACATTTCACATACTCCTTTTTCTTCCTACGACATTCACGTGCTGCCTCTCTGTAAAGCAAAGAAAAACATTAAAACCCAGAACAATTATTTAAAGACATGGGTTGCTTAAGTATTTGAGTCAAACATTTATCTAATACTGAGATTTCTAGAATACGGAAGTATTGTAAGAAAAAAAATCATAAATTTGAAAGACCGTGTTTACGATATTTTCACCTTACAAATCACAAATACTCAAGATCCAAAGATTATTTCACCATATGGATCCTGGAAGGTTGGCACTGGAAAAATCCTGCTGGTGTGAGAAAGGGATCCTACTCAAAGACAAAATTATGTTTTCAAGGTTTGATTTTGGGCCTTTGCATTGAGAACAACGCTGCTGCTCTGATTTTCCCATTTCCAAACAGACTCAGGTGTCCATTTGTCACTCCTCCAAGTAAGATTTCACATGCTCATAGGACTTCAGTGGGTCCTGTGCAATATTCAGAATTCAAAGTCATTTTGGACTGCAGTTACGTCTAACCATTACTGGATGAGGAAAGGAGTGTGTCTCCAAGTGGTAAACTACTAATACATATTCCTAGATGACAACTTTTCCTCTGCTTTTGTGATTTTGTGCTAGGCTGGGCACTTAGCTACTTCAAGTCTGTGCGCATTAACTATTCATAATGAACAACCAGTTATACTGGATTATAAGAGAGCTTTTAAAAATTAAAACTTACACACAGAAAATTTACACAATAGTTCCTAGTATTATTTATGCTTTAATGTTTCAATACGGATCACTGCTCCCCCTGCCTTCCTAGAGTCTTTTATCCCACTTCTCTGTGGGGGCCAGCTTGGCAAATATCTATTAAGTAGGCAGGCTAAAAATAGCACATGCAACATGACACTGTTGCAAAAGGTGTTAATTCAAATCAAGGGTAGAGTGATTCCCCACTGTTTTTGTTGGCTTTTCCAAACAGTAAAGCTTTCTTTTACCCAGTAAGATTTCTGACTAAACAAGGGGATTCTAAATGCCAATTATTTTTTTCTCAAATACAGGAAGCTTGGAAGGGTGAATAATGGTATCTACTATTCACCAATGTCAGAAAAATGGTAAAAATGGTGATGTGCGAAATTCTGGACAAGCACTTTTTTAAAAAAAGTGAATTCTAGTCGGGGGAGCTGCTGCTCCTCAGCCTTCCCTTGGGCCTTCCCGCCTCCGGAAAATAGCACCGAAGGGCAAGTAGCTAAAGAAGAAAAGTGAGACAGGAAATAAAATACTCACGAAAGGTTAGAGTCAAGCAGAATGCAAGCAGAGGGCTAAGCTAAAGAGTTCAAGAAAGGAGACTCCAGGAATGTAATCGTTCAAAAAACAACCTACCTCAGTGTTCTTAAGAATATACTGTAAGCCAAATGAAAACTGGAAGATAGTCTCTCACCATCGGCCTTTTTCCTCACTGCCAAATGGACAAAGGTGGTAACACACACACCTCTCAGAACGAGTCCCACATCTTTACTCATGGTTTTGTAACCACAACACACAGCATTAGCCTATGTGCTTCTTCACGTTGCACGCTTAAATAAGGGCATCTTCTTCAGAAAGCATATCATGAAGTCAGCAAGGCAAGGTTGGTCCTACTGCTTAACCCCCTGGTGCTAAGCAGAGCAGAGGAGAACGGAACACCGAACGCGATGTACGTGCCTGTTCTTCATGAGACGCACTTCCCTCTTCCGCGCGGCCTCCTCCGCCGGCTGCGTGGGAAGCGCTGGGGAGGACGCCATGACTACGCCCGGCGCGATGGTGCTGGTGGGCGCCGTGCGGATCTGGTACGTCTGCACGTCTCCCGAGGCAGCTGCAAGACAAAAGCCCCGAGGAAACGTCGCGTCGCTTTGAGCTCAGAGAACGCTGCTCGAGCACGGTGGGAAAGGCACCTCCTCATCCACACAACCACACGCTTCGGGCTGCACTGCAGCAGGGGGGATCCTTATCTGGGTCATTGCTGCTATGTTGGTGTTGGGTTTATCAACACATGCGAGGTTTGGTAATCCCTCATGAAGAAGGCTTCACTTGGGCTTGAGGCATTCATTTGTCCTGCTGTACTTCTTTTCTCTTGGTACATTTCTTTTTCCTTCTATTTTGGGGCAGTTTTAGCAGCAAACAGTGGGCAAACAATATTCTAGCTTTGCTCCAAAATGACTACGGGCAAAAGGGGAAACTACATGAGCAAGTATTTGGGGGCAGAAAAAAAGGGTGTAGAAATGCTGCACTCACACTGCCAAGACAGGCAGTGCAAGCCTGGCAGTAAACTTTACTATTTCTACAGAATGAACAAGTTTTTTTCTTTTTTTTAATCTGAAAGTCCTGAATTCAATAAAAATATGACACTACCCAAAGACGTTGCATTTGCTTAAAAAAAAAACAAAAACAAAGGCTCAATGCAACATTAGTTCTTCTCCACTACGCATGTGCACTGATGCCTGATGCCACTTTCACTGAGTGGCTTTCAAACCACCTGCTTTAAGTCATAAAAGCAGAAGCTCAACTTTACCCTTATTTCTTAATATATAGATTTTAATAACCCTCCTTCCCCCCAATTTTTAATAAACCAAATTATATGCTTTAATAAAACAAGAAAAAGCAACCTGGTCTAACCCTGAAGTAGCTCCGCTCTGTGAAAAAGGTGCGAACAGATGACCTCTAGAGGCCATTTCCAATCTAAAATATTGCAGTATTCTAATACCCAGTGACTAAATATTTAGCGAGTAGCGATAGCAAGCACAGTAGAAAGCAATTATGACCTTCAACTTAAAGGAAAAAGTTACTAATAAATGAAACTCCCCTTACTGAAGGAAATTTTTATAAAGGCCTGCTTTCCTAACTTAAAACGCTTTCCTTTAAATGTATTGTTGCAGCTGCCTGTCTGGCAGAATTCAGAATTCTAAATAGTCTATGGCATGAGTTTCTGAAGAACACACGGCAAATGTCACGTGGACAAGATGCAGGAAATGCAAAACAGAAAAACAAAAGAAAAAGCTTTTTTTTTTCCAAAGTGAAACCATAGTATCTGCAAATGTATTCGTCTGAGGGAACAGCACCAAGAAAATGTGACAAATCGCTTTGCCTCTAATTTCCTTTTGGAGACTGATCTGTGTCAAAGCCATTAACTCCATCTCCTGACACGTTTGAGAAATTTAGGTTTGCAAATTATATCCATGGGGAGGACATGTTATGGAGAATGACTGATCGAAGTTTCTCACCTTGTACAACAACTTGGTTGCTGGGTACAAGTATCTGCTGCCCATCTGTGGTCTGTGCGTACTGTAAAATGGTGGTGCCAGGTTGGGTTGCAGCTGCATTGGTCATAGTCAATGTCTGGAGCCCTTGTACTCCATCTGTGCCGTTGTTTGACAACTGGATTGCTCCTCCTTGCGTAATAGCAACTGGGGACAAAGAAATTTGATACGGTGTTTGAGAGAGTAATAAACTCATTAACTCATAGTATTAAACCTAGATACAGAAGAATATTGTCTGAGTTGAAAAAAGCAGCCCAAAACAGCATTATTTTCTCTGACAAAACAGCATCACACAGAGGAGCCAGAAAACGTTTTATTCAACAGTTCGTATTTTTTTCTTGGTTGACTCAGGTCTTTTCCTCAGTCTTTTCTTTTTTTCTTCTCATCTGAAATTCCTCTCCTCTTGCACGCTTTACTCCCTTTAGTTTCCTCTGCTGCTACTGCTATCCACCTTGTTGGTCACTTTCTCCCTGTTTCACTCATACAGGACAAATTTTACATAATTCTTTTTCCTTCACGCAGTCTTAGTTTGGTTTTTTCTCCCTAGCTTCCCCTGAGACCTGTCATTCAGGTGTATTGAAGTGTTTCGCTCTCTGCATTTACCAAATTTCACTGTGTCCCCACATAAAAGTACAATAAAATCTCAGACTTCTATGTGAGCAATTTTTTTACAGTGATGGTAAAGCAGAGTGAACTATATGAATCTCAATAAAATTAAGCAAGATATTAGGAAAGGTGGCTAAGGAGAAAAGAGACACACCAAATTTTAAAGGCATCTAAGAGAAAGATGTGAGCAGGTATCTCTTTCTCCCTCTCGTACATTAAATACTGAGTTCTTTTCTTTGTGGAGGTCCATGAATTCTAGTTTTACTGCTGTATCCTCAATCTTTTATGTTAGAGCAATGTATCTATAGAATCTAATGAATAAGGAAATTGCAGTACAGAAACTTATATTTATTAAGTGTTTTGATTAAGGTTACAGAAATCCTTATTTCTTTCAGGACTCTCTGAAAATGTAATTGAAGACTGTAATGTTCTTTTGAACAATTTTTAACGGGTAGCAATTTAGTGAGCCAGGATTAATAATCTGCCAGGAAGAAAAAATAAAAAGACTCCTAAATTGCCTCATCTGGTTCCTGCAGCTCCATGTCCATAATAGCTGTACAGTTAAATTACATTTTGTCTCAGGATTTTGCCTGCAGAACATTTGCTGCACTAACACTGGCAAGCAGTCTGAGAATGTAAATTAACATTTTAAATACTTGGGAATGGGAATGTGTTTAAAAGTGCTGGGTATCAAACAGCCCAATTAACGTGACCTTATATTGTCGTCCTGCATTGTCCTAGTTCAAACAGTCAAACAAATAATGGTTCTTCATCTTCTCATCCCCACTTACTAGCACCACTGAGAAATACAGACTACATACTGTACTGCCCACTGCTGGTTTGGTAAATGGGAGTTGGCACTGTAACGGTGGCGATGGCAGGGGCTGCTGTTTCCTCTTCAGACTTTTCTTCTTCGATCCTTGGCACTCCCGGGGCGTCTGAGGACAAGTCATTCAAAATTTTTCTGGCAAAGACAGTGTGTTGTAGAGATTTTAATAAAAAAAACAAAATAAAATAAATAAATAAATAAAACCTCAGTTTGATACATGATGATGGGGAAAGCTACCAAGTGCAGTGACCCAGCAAAGGAAATAACAGGGGCAGAATGACAAACCGGGACAAATCGAACTCTTGCTGGAGAAGATTATTCAAAGTGCCACACACAGATGGAGCCCAGTTGCTCCTTGGCTCTAGATACAACTATTGCAGCCTTCCCTTTTTCTTAAAAACATGTTTCTCCCTCATATATTTTTACTTGTTTCCTGCTTTCAGCCACATGAAGATATGAAAAAAGCAAAAGCATGTAAAACCTGTCCTGATTTACATCAGAGAAACTGCTAAGTTTCAAAGACGATAAAGGCCAGAGACTGGAGCAGAAAGTCAGCGGCTCTGCTTGTAAAGAGCAACCAGCTTACAGCCTGACACCTGCAACGCCCAAGGGTTAAGTGAAACCCGTGCAGCTACGTCCACAGAGGAGGAAACCATCCTTCCTGAGAGAGAGATTTCCCTGAGTAAAGAAACAAGAATTTGTTGTTCACTTGCTTACCTGGCTTAGTTATCCAAAGCCCAAACTGCTAAACGGTCACGAACCTAGTACCGCGGAGCACGACGGTGACGCTGACCGTGACGGCGGCTGCACGGAGCGCTCTGTCCCAGACAGACCAGCGCGACGCCGCGTCCACCCGCGGCACCATCTCCCATCTGCCCCCGCAAAACGCTACTTCCCTCAGCAAATACAGGGGAGCCTTTTGTGTCACTTCCTCCTATGTTGTTCCGTGGACGGTGTCTCTAGATCTCAGAGTGTGACGAGGCAAGCACAGATGCAGAGGTGAGCTCTGAGACAACACTCACTTCTTAAATGAGGCTCCTGAGGCTGCGGGAGCCAGAACATCTGTATGGAGCTATCTGGGGACACTGGTCACTTTGCCAAGCAACTTGGTAAACGGCCTTTGCTGCTGCTGTTTTGACTGTGCACACAGGACCTCCGATGCTGCACAAGTTCTCCACTGTGCCAAGCACCACATGGACAAGCAGCAGATTCCTGTCCAGGGGACCTGCACTTGAGGAGTGAGACCAGAGAGTACTCGTGGACAAAACAGATGATAGAAATCTCTGGAGAAAGCGGGAAGGATGAGGAACTAAACTCACAAAGCCCAAAATAGAAAAGCAGAAATTGCAGCTCGACGCTTTTTTAACTCCTGTCAGATAGGATTTGGCTGCTAAACCCTACCACTGCCATCATAAAGATGGATGTAAAATGAAAGTCAAGGCAGCAGCTTTAGAGACACAGCAGATATGAGCAGACATGGAGAAGGCAGGAAGCTCCTTGGCACTTGGCATCGGGGTCCGAGCGCAGCTGCTGAGGAAGCAGCGCAGCCCTGCAGCTCCACGAGCCCATCCGTACCGCCCGTGTCTCCGCTTCCAGAGTCCCCGGACCGGGGCTGGAGGGGAAAGGCTCCTCCGAACGAGAACACGGGACGCACAGCCCTCTCTGCTCAGTTTACTGCTTGTTTACTGAGTCAGCTCTGTTGTCTCATGATATTTAGCTGTTCTTCCATATATAGTAAGCGAACTACTGCAGACGCAGGCTACAAGGAAGCTGAGTGATAGCAACACTGCCCTGCACAAATTAAAACATATCCAGGATCTATATGGAAAGAGATCTTTAGTGGAGATTTTCACTATCTTCATTAGGACAGCCTTGAAGGCTCCTCAAAAAGGCATGAAATAACCTGTGACTGCTAATAAAATGTGTGAGAAATAATCAAGCCTAGAGGCTGCTTTAGATTTCTGAGGCTATGTTCATGAAGAAAAAATAAGCAGTTGAATTTTCCAAAGTAGCAGCAATCCACAAGTCACTTAAAAAACTGCTGAAATCCACAGCTGTTCCTTAAAATTATTTAACAAGTTTTAAGGATGAAAAGTGAGATTTAGTATGGGCAGAAAAAAAGATGTGCTAGGGGCAGAATACTAAAGCAGGTATGGTTAATACCGTTGGAAGGAGCACCTCAGTTGGTCTTACCACACAAATATTTGCCACACCAACTAAAGCCACTAGATGCCTATCACTGTGTTAAACTCACATCCTGATTTCTTTAACTTTAAATATAACCACATTTGCTCAAGCAGAAACTCTCCTTGAGCCACAGCACATCCTCCTGTGAAAGTCTCCCAGGAGGAAGGAATTGTTTGCTTGCTGCTAACATTTTAACATTAACAAAACACAGTAACGTTGATTTTAGTCTGACCACAGATTATACAGTAATTTCAGCATGCTCCCCATATTAAGTATCTATTAAAGCTACCTCTAAGTCACCTATCACAAGGATATCTCAATGTTTTACAAATTTGGCAATTGGCTTATTCTCAGCTCATCTCCGTCTTGCCTCAGTGGAACATTTGAGGTCTCCTCCTCCTCATACTATCTGCTTATCTCTTTGCAACCAATTCTATGGAGAGATATTGCAGAAGAGATATTTTAGCTAAATGGGTTTATAGTTAAGCCCCCTAATAACTACAGAATGACACCATTTGTCTCCCCATTTGAAGCATGCATTCATGAAGCAAACTGCTTTCCCCTTTAACCTCCATACCTGTAGGACGGTCGTCTGGAAAGAATTTCTCTGCGTTTCTGTGAGTCTGTGACACTGTCTACTGATTCCTGTGAATCTTCACTTTCTGCTATAGTGGAGATCTGTAAACAAGCACAGCAGTGAAAATCTACAGGACACTGGCAATGCCTGCTCTTTCAAGGAACTGTCCACATTATGTGAAAAACACTGCAGTGCAACTAAGATGGGCCTGGGCAACTGACAGTTGGGGCAGGCATTTCAGTACTGGATACAGTAACGAATGGCCACAACCAACCAGATTTCCTTTTACAAATGAAATCTGGAAGTTTTGGAAAAATATAAATAGTAATTCTATACACTTTTTGCTTTCTGTAATTCCTTCCTTGTCTCTATCCATTCCAAAGAACTAGAGAAAGGCTGCCTATCAAGTTTAGGGAGAGAAAAACTAAATGCAACTTCAGAGTGAAAGCAGAAGGGTTTGGAGACAAAAGAACTTGATATTGAAGCTGAGAAAGATCCATTTATAAATCATTTGGTGAACATGGGACCTGCAGAAGATTTTTCTAATTTGTCCTTTGATGCGAAGTCACACAGAGACTGCCTTCGCTTTGGGGAAATTGGCAGGAAAATATCATACCTGAAAACACTAACAAAATTCTGCAGTGCTGCAGCTCTGATTTAGGCAGGAAAGCTCAAATGTTTTCATCAATCACACTTCAATAATTTGAAATGTTAAAAATGTAAGAATATCTTCAATACATAAAACCAGCGGTATTTCTTTTCCAGACAGCTCGTACTACAAATATACAACAGCGAATGAAACAGTGAAAAGCTAAAGGTCTACGTGAGAAACAGAGCTCGTGGCCTGACGTTTCGTGCACTGTGTGGAAGATTCCTAAAGGCTCAAAACCCACGTTGATGCCTGAGTCTCACAGCTACCACGTGGTGGGCTTGGACACGTCCGAGGTGGCTGCGAATACCACGGCAGCCCGGACACGCTGGCTCTGCCCCGTGGCAAGTGAATTCCAAACATGATTTCATTATCAGCCTCTTATCTTCCACCCCTGGCTAGTAACTCAGAGTAACACAGAGCTTCTGTGAAAACTGCTCACCTCTCATAGCTTTAAACTCTAAACTTTTGACTCCAAAGGCTCAGGAGGGTAGGGCCTGCCAGAAACTCAGAACTAAAGCCGACAAGGAGTAAACAAAGATTATTATCAGAACGACCTCGTTTTAAATTATGCATCACTTACTTTTAAGAATAATACCCAGCTAAATAAAGGTATCAAATAACCACCATGGCTAGCTTTTATAATTATGTTTTGTTTGTGCTCAATGTGCTAATTGCAAAAGCACAGTGTACACTCTTTGTAATCATTTTCTGATTCTATGTTCAATTACACTGGATTTAGGGGTTCCAAAGCTAAAAAAAATAAAATAAAAAGGTCGCAGATTTTAAGGATTATACACTACTTTTCTCCTAAGTCATTAAACAGTCTCTTCATCCATTCTTTCATTATCTGTCTTGTTTTACAGGATAAAAAAAACACTAAGGTTTTACAAAGTAAATAACAGGCAACAAGCAATTTTAAAATTACGTTTATGAGGGGACCGACAGGTATGTTTTAAGGTCCATTAACACAGAGTGCAAAACAATGCACATGTTTTCTAAGCAGCAAAGACTCTCACCCCAATACATTAGCTTCATGAATAATTAGAAACCCACATTTTCTTCAATCCCTTTTGTGCACTTCAGAGCTAATAATAGGAATCCGACAAGTCAATAAAGATGTATAAAAACATAGCAGAGAGAGAAGTATGGAAGTACAATAACAAAGCCCACAAGCTGCTAAATTCACCGAGTTCTAGCGGGAAATGAAACTCAGCATGTATCGAGATGAAAAATGGTTAAAGCAGAATAGAAAAAATGTCACAGAGCAGCATAGACGGTGCAGATTTTGCCCTCAACATGCTCTTTAAGTTTATGTATATATATAAAAAAGAACATAATCCACACAGAAAATAAGAGGAGTGTGCAGGGCCCTTCAGAAGGCCCAGTTTACACAAGAGGTGAGTTTCTCTGTAAGTACCTGAACTGTCTGGACCTGGGGAGACTGAATAACTGACGGCTGGGCAGCCTGAATGACTCCGTGGACTTGCACAGTCTGCCCGTTGGGCAGCTGAACTAAGGTCACCGTGGGTGCAGAGGACGTCGCGTGAGCTGCCGGCATCGATACCTGCAAAACACAGACAGGGAGCACGAATCAGGTCACTGAATTCTTCTTAGTTCACTATCAGGATCGCTTTTTGGCGAAAGAATTACGTCTCGGCACCGCTTAGCTGACCCAAATGTTTCCATGTAAAACAAACCTCGCCAAACGGCCTAAGCCCAACATTTGACCTACTTTACAGATTAATTTAATGCAGAATTTCTGCAGGCTCAAAACATTGCTTGTAAAACCACTGCCAAGAACACAAGAATCACAACTGCCTTCATTTTGAGGTAGCCTGATAAAATATATTATGAAAATTCTCCAGGAAAATACGGCTAGGACTCGGGTGTACTCCTACAGACACTGCTGAAACAAAGTCAGAAACATATGGTGTAACAAAGTCAGAAACATATGGGAGTAGAGCCAGTTTTGTTCTCACTTAAGAAAATAGAAAATGTTTGCCACATGTAAGAAGTTAATATTTTTAGGGAGTCCTATCTTTCAGACTTATTAGAGAATGCAGTCAAGTAGCTGGCAAAATCCGTTTCAGAAAGAAAACTCACCATATGTTTAGGCAGGCAAAATGTGGGTTTTCAATGGAAACAAACCGTTACTAAGGAGATATTTTAACACAGTATTCCAGGGCAACACAATCTCTAGTCTTATTTTATTTCTATGAGGAAAAACGGCCCAGGTTTTAAAATTTCAGTTGCTAAATGATGCTCTTTGTGCACATCTGGCAGGCTCCTGAAATGCATGGGGATGTGAGGGTGCCACAGAAGCTCATGCGACCCGTGGTTTGCTCCTGAGCCAGATCATCGTGGCCCTCAGCAAGGAACTGCAGGTGGGTTTGGGCTGCTCTAGCAGACCAAGTTTGAAAAATGTAATAATCTTCCAATATCTAAGGGCGTTTGCAAGGTCCATCCATCCGGCTACAATGCAGGAGGTGGCTGTAACGCAGCACTCCCTCATCTCAAAGAAGTGCTATATGCAGAATGCAGATATAAACCCTCTCCTGTCCTAACGAACACGTGCTTCTCAAAAGACTACAATGGATGATCTCTGAACTTCCATAAACATCAGGCACTTACAAAGAAATGTTGCTTAGCAAGAAAATTAAGGGGAATTACATGTAGACCCCTCTCCTTCGCAGCTGTCTCTCCCTAATCCTCCAAGCTGCCCTTTGCCTTTACCTTCCTTTTCCATGGAGCTGGCTGCAGCCTTACGTAGCAGCACTTAACATCTGCACCTAGGAGAAACTGGGGCTGATTAGCACGAACACAGTCCGTCCTAGCAAATTATATTGCTCTACAAAGTGACCTTTTCATAATACATGTCTGACTAAACATTCCTTGGCAATGACAGCAAAGCTGATCAACTGAGGGCTACTCTGTGGTTGAGCTAAGCCAAGAGCAGAGTGCAACTTCCGCAGATGTCTCTGACTCATACCTTGTGGAACTAGAACAAGTTTCCTTTTGACTCTGAAAACCACCCTCAACTCACTAAAAATGCAGCAATTAAGCTAAGATTGCAAAGAGGGTCACCTCTCTCTGTGCAAGAGAAAATGAAAAAAAGATATAATTATTTATTTAGATTTTACTAAGCTTCTGAGGACACTCTCTAATGCCAAATAAAGCTTTACTACATACTAAAAATACTGTAATAACATAACAATGATATAAACAAGACAAGGAATTACATTTGGACTGTTGTACTACCTTCACAAGGAACACAAAGCCTGGGAACCTGCTACGGTGCAAGTAAAACAGTGAATAACAGTAGGGGAAGCTAGCAAAAAAAATACTTCTGTATTTGTCGGTCATAGGGACTTCAACCACAGCCATGCAGAATCCCACCTTTTTTTACCCAGATAAAATTTTCGTTTTAGTACAAGGCTGACTTTGCCTGAGTAAAATGCGTTCAATCTACTGCCCGCCTGTTAAGTTTTGCTACCTGGAGTTCATGTTAGGATACAAATTTAAAAGATGTTGGCTCTCTTTTTTTGTGCTAAATCTTAATGTGCACCAAGTAAAAAGCAGCTTACTGGCTTTGCAAGAGAATAAACTAATAAACTACTTCCACACAGCTCACACTAAAGTGTTATCCACACCACCTACATCCAGAGCTGAAGTTAAACAGTGAAAAGCTGCCCAAAGAGGGAAGCTGCTGCAGGGAAGCGGGTGGCCTGCAAAGTCACCCTGGAACTTACTGGACACGAAGAGCCCAGTGCATTTCCAGCTTCTGCTCCTTGTGCCACCACTGGAACGGACAAGAACCAAGCTCTGCTTTATTGCAAGATGCCATGACTTTATAAAGGAATAATTAACAAAATGATAAGCTATGGAACAATTATGCAATTGAAGATGTTAAATTCCCCAGTTATGTGGTCCAAAAAAAGAGTTTGTGCTGTGCTGGCTGCAAATAGTTTCAGAAGGAAATGATTATGGAAGAGAGCATGGAGAGACCCTGTACATTTGCACAGTGGAGTTGCTCCTGCCAAGCATCAGTGTGTGCATCCCAGAATGAAACTGGGTTCCAAAATTAGAGATGTGGCTAGGATTGTGTCATTTGTTATCTCTCCAAAATAATGTGGGGTTCATAAATGAGCTACTGCTCTCTCACTAAATAGCAAACAATTCTGCGAAATTTAGGAAACAACAATATAACCTGAGCAGTCAAATGCCATGCTGTTCCACTTGCTTATAATGCTTACAATATTCTATCCCATCTGACAGCTCTCGTATTTACTACATTATTTACCTATACTTTCCCTTCGTTTTCTTCAGAATTAGACATTTTGTTATAGGCAAGTTTCTAACAGAAGAAGGCAACAGCCAAACAATCCAGTCAATATTAAAAATACGGTAAATCATGAATTTTGAAAAAATACCTTTCAGTGTTACGTTTGCAGTAAAGAACGCTTTAATACTTCAAATAATTTATTATTCTGTTAAAATTCCACAGTTTACACACACACAGTTCTTTAGAACAGCCTAACGTGCCGGGAAGTCAAAAGTCTCTACTGCCACACAAATACGAAAATACAAATTAAAGGAACTACACACAGCACTTGTTTTAGAATCACATCAGTGGATCCTTCTTTCAATCTCACATGCAAACACCATCCTTCTTAAAAAGAAAATCCAATATGTAGAACTTATTTTATACCTGGGCTAATGTTGCAATCTGTGGTTGTGCCTGTACTGTCATCTGTTGGCTTTCTGCCTCCGTAACGGCTGCATCTCCACTCTGCTGGTTCTCTGCTCCAGATTCCATGGTCATTTAGTTACCTACAATCACAATATTTGTCGTATTATTTTCACTTCCTTATTAAAATGCTGCTAAACTATTAAGTATGTAGGCAAAACTTATCATGCCGTGTGTCTGCTTGCATGATTTTTCTGTAATGTTCCCATAAAAATAGGGTCTAATCTCATACAATACTGAGATCAGAAAAAAAAAGTTTTACATATCATTAAAAAAAGAGATTACAGAGTTTTACTAAGACAATCTAATACTTCCATAACTTGAAATAGTAACTTGCATCTGTCTCAGTGTCAAGGTGAAAATGTGCCATAAATTAGGTCTTAGAAGCCTCCCCTGCAACAGCTCCCCTCCTCCAAAGGCAGTTTGCAGATAATCAATCACAATTTATTTTTGTGTTAAACACTTAATTTTCAGTGTCTTCAGTCTGAATTAAATATGCAGCATTTCCATTCAAATTCTTTCCATACTTGGGCTGAGGAACTTGGTCTCTTCCACTCCATGTTTATAAAACCAGTATATAAAAAGTGCTGAAAGCCATTTCTAGATGAACTTTATTGCAAATATTTATCTTTTTATTAAGAGATACACAGTAGTTTCTCATGGCCTGTGCTGTATCCTACATGGCTCCTGATACATTTTTATTTTTAAGCAATAATTGAGTAAGTCTAAATTACCAGAACATCCAATTCTATAAAAAGAGGTTGTGTAAGTTCCAAAACCATGCAATTAGGCAGAGTGTAACGAACGTGAAATTCCACACCGATCTGTGAAAATTACTTTCTAGTCTTCTTTAAATACTGATATGAGAGTATGTAATATGTAACAAAGAATATAGGGAAATCTTTGAAAAGGTGATATAGCAACACCACTGTAATTCACAATAGCAAATATACAGAACCCCAACACCAAAAACACTGAAAACGGGTATTACCTCCATATCCACAATACTAATCTCTCACGCTGCTCTATGCAGCCAAACCTACTCGTGTTTTTTCTGCCTGCCCTGGGTCAAACATTCCTCTCCGCCAAGCTAGGGCAAAAATGGCCAGGAGAGATGGCTGCTTTGGGAAAGAGCTGGCGCCGAACACGCTCACATCTGTAGGAAGGTGGAAAGGAGAGGAAATCCCTGCTCCCTGCTGGGCCTTGTTGGAAAAAACTTAAAGATGGTCAGTAACTACGACAGCAGCAGGAAAATCACTGCAGGCAGCCCTGGTACTCAGTGTGAAGAAAACCAGCTAGCTGTTAAGAATGATAAACCATTTCCTTCTAAACACAATGTTGAAGAAACTTCCACTTCAGTGCAAACTGTATATTAAGGTTTTTGGAAAGAGAATACTCTTTGAAGATATGTATTATACAAACAGTAGGGTCATGCGCTACCCCCAAGAATTATCTGAAATTTCTGCCTTACAATAAGTACTAACCAACAAATATGAAACAGCTGTGAGGAAATTCTTATGAAATGAACAAAAACAAGTAATCCTACCGAATACTTAAAAGAGAGAAACTACACATTTTGGGAAAAAAAGAGCAAGTTAAATTCTTCTAAGCACCCGGAGTTTTTTTCTGTCTCTCTCCATTGCCATGATTTAGTTTCACATGAAGCAGGTCCTACTCTTGGCAAACGCTTCAGATATACAGTGCCTGCATGTGTACACTGCTAATCTGGCCAGCTAATAAATCCAGCGTAGACTCACTGAATTTAAAGTGGTTTGCAAATTAAATTTTATTTCAAGACTAGCCTGTGGTCATGCCAGGATGACAGCCCTATTTTCCTACAGTACCTGGTACTTTCATCTCCCAGAAAGCAGTAACTTCACAAAAGTAATGCCCTGTACTACTACCATTTATAATGCACATTAGCAAACTATGCTTACACACTTCATTCATGACACCTAAGCAGTTTTCTATACCATCCTTGATGCATGAAACATATTTTAATAGTCTTAGTCAGTCATGTCACATCCCCAACTTTTTCTGAGTAATGTGCAATCCAAAAGGTGCAAACTGCCAACTAGATTATTGTAGCTTTTCCTTCTATGTTTATCATTTTTAAGGAGGAGTAATGTTATTGCTTTTTGGGAGTGCATCAGCCAGGCCTTCAAAGGAAAGCAAAAGGACGACCTTTTCCCAATCCCTGTGTTTGCACTGGGCATTCCAGGCAAAAACTCACCTCCCTGAACACCCTCCTGCAGGAATTGGCAGATCATTGTAGCAGCACCATCTCCAGCCAGTAGCAAAGCTGAACTTTAAAGAATTTCCATCTGTGAATTGAAGTGTGTTGCCCAACAGATAATGCTTTTGTTTTCTGATAGAAATTGGTGACTCAAATGTGGAGGCACAAACAAGAGGGAGTAGGAAAACATGAAATGTGCAGCTGGGGAGTGTCTCGAATCACATATTTTGCAATGTTCACACAGGTAAACTGTGCCAAATTCCTGACAATAAATGGAAATGTTTTCCTTAGAAGAACTTCCCATCTTCTTGCGCATCGTTCAACAAAGCACCTAAAACTGGAACATTATAGTGTATCAACTGCTCTGATTTTATGAGCTTGGTTTCTATGCTTGCATCATGGTTTGCATGTGTATTTTCAGCACAAGCATTAGCTGTGTGAAGTGCTCCCTCCTCCAGAACGCAGCATTTGGGAAACTGCTAACGGGACTTGCACACATCCAAGCAGAGCCTCCTGGATTCTTGACATGGGCAATTTAAGTGAGTTCCCAATGCGACTCGCCGGGCTTTAAATGCAAACAGTTGCAAAATGCATGGAAAATCCTCAACTACACACACTGTAGGAAAATCTAACTAAACTGTATTGTTAACTGTGTGAATTTGGGAAGGGGCCTGGACACTATTACTGAATTCAACCTAACATGCACCTGAGATAGTAAAAGCTAGAATGTTACAATGCAAGAGTAGCAAGATAGAAAACAAATGTTTTAAAAATAAGTTATTTCTATAGAGGACCCTATGCCATCGGCTGGGTACAATGTAAATCCCATTTAAAACCGGATGCTGTGAAATCTGGGTGTGCAGAGAAAAGAAAGTATTTGAGGTAATGAAAACGCTTTATATAGAGACAGGAAAGAACTGGGTTATTTACCTCAGAAAGAAGGGCTCCAAGCATTAAAAATATATTTAGATTAATAACAAGGAAAGTACACTGGAAACTTTCACTTTTTCATAGTGAAGCTCAATGGTGGCAAAAAACTTAAAAGTATAAAAATAAAAAATGTATAAATTTCTATTGTAAAAAGTGATGAGGACCTGACCCTTCACGTAACGCAGACACCATACGGTACACGGTACCCCCTGGAGCGCTGAGAGCACAAGTAGTTATTTCTCCTCCCAAGTGCCTACGAGCCAACTCCGTCTTCCCACACCTTTCATGTCAGCAGCATCTTCACTCCTCACTACCCACCTGTCCGTATTTTTTTGGTCTCCCTGGGTGTTCTTACTTCTCTCACTGTCTCTCATCTCAAATGTCCCTGTAACTGCCGACAGCCCCGCTGAACACCGCGCTCCTCCTTGGTTTCTCTGCACCTTTTTCCCAGCCTTCAGCTCACACAAACCGCAGAGCTTCCCTGCACTGCACGCAAAGGTGGGTTGTGTTTCCCAGAATCACTAATGAAAAAACGTGGAGGTCTTTTCCTAAACACTGTTAAATCCAAGAGCCAAAACATACTGCTGTGGCTGTCACTGCAAGGGACATAACCACCAGTCACTTTCATACGTGAAGAAGGCCAGGAATGGCCCAAAGCTTTCCGTGTTTTTTGACAGTATCAGTAATGCCTCTCCCTGCCAGACTCTCTTTAATCCTGTCGGGGCAGCAATTCACTGTTAACTCATATGTGGATCACACGTAACCATATTTGAGGCAATACGGTTCAGTTTACACCTCTGTTACTGTCACAGCTTGTTCCTAAGAGGAGCTTTACTAAGGGACACTCTTTGCAGCTCTTTAAGGTCCCCTTCCCCTGCACAGCTAGACAAGGACTTTTGGTTGTATTCTCAGAAGCACATGCCCAGTCTGTGAAGAACCCAAGAACCTCCCAAATCAGTGCAGATCAGAGACCCAACAGCCCTGGGCGCCTTCTGATGCGAGTTACTCACCCATTCCCCGGCATCACCTACACCATCCATCTTCGGGGCCACAGTCCTTTCCTGACCCACTTCATTACGGACCCCCTCAAATGCTCATGGCAACTAAGTGCCAGGGCAGAGAGGGGTTGAAGGAGGTCAAACAGCTTCTTCCAGTAGAAGCCCCACGTTTACCCATTTACAATGTGGGAGCACTAACGGCTTCAACACTCAGCTCCCTTGAATTTCTGTGCATTCATCTAGAACTGTAGTTTCTGTTTTGCCACGCACTTAGAGGTGCATGTGTTTAGAAGGTGCATGTGTTTAAAAAATGAATGCATTTGACCAGCTTCTACAGTAGAAACGTCTGTTCTGAACACATTGTTGGAGAGGTTGCCTGCTTGTTCATCTGACCTAAAGGGCAGAACTCTGAGGAATCCAGAGAAGAAGGGCTGAACGTCTCCAAATCTGTAAAAGTCCTCAGCCGTCCTATTCAGCTGTTCCACGTTGGCCAAGATATTGTTAATGGCTCATAAGGAAGTCTCTTGCGAGGAACAAGTGGGGAAGGTCTATTCTGCCAATCTCAGTCTACCAAAGCCCTGCAATAAAAAGGAAGATTCCTCGAATAGTTCCTTCCTTCCCTGAAAAAAAATCTTTAAAAACAGTGGTAGCTACAAATAGAGAAAGCTAAGTGTAATAAAAACATTACATTATTTCATAAAGCACTTTCCTTTTACATTTTTTTTTTTTACAGTTTCTTGTTTCAAATCTGCATGGACTTAATTTTGCTCCCTTCTGCATTGTTCTGCCTATGCTAATATACTTGGTAACCTCTGGCATAAGGGCAATTCGAACATGTTCAAACAGGAAAATAAATACGATAGCAAGTTATAAGCTTTGGCAGGTTAACATCAGTGTCATGTAACTACATGAAC